GACAGGCAGATATTGTCAGACATAAAACAGGCACACATATTGACAGATAGAAGACAGGCACATGTATTGACAGACATAGAACAGGCAGATGTATTGACAACACAAGTTCAAGGTGTCTCCCTCGTGCCAAAGAACTGCATGGCTGTTGGGTGAACAGTCGTTAACGAAGGTAGTCAGGTCGTTGTTGGGGCGACGCTTGCTGGTGGATGTAATGTCCTAAATCCCTTCCCCAGTTAATATTAGGGAACTGCTGGGGTGACAGTTTATTAACCCTCACATAATGCTTCAGGTCCAAATGGACACTAGGCACTGCCATTGTTTTGAGCAGAGGCATACATTTTTGCTTCTGCCAGACTGTGGCCGTTGCTGTTTTGCTCCATTTGTAGACAGGAAGTATACAGTTTCGTTGCCCAGCTTTTGAGTTAAGTGTATGGTGTGACACTGTGAGCTGCGGATTTAATTTGGAATGTTTTTCCACTGACCAACGTGGTGGTGTGATTTGTAGATTCAGAAAATGGCGCAATGCCGGTTGTCGCAATATTGGTGGGGCCATTATTTGATTAAAATTGATCGCGTGGTCAACTGCTGATCTTGTGGTGACTTCTGCAACCATCAATGATGAACTGCATTTCTAACGTCGGACTGTTTGTGTTAGCACTTTGGATAGCTACCATATGCTTTTAATGCGAGTGTATGCTAGATTTGTTGAGACAGCAGTTTGTCAGTCTCTCCACAAGGGACTGTGATAAACATTCTGTGTGTTTTTCGTTGGCACAGGAGCGGAGCAAAGATGGGGTGACCTGTTTGCTATGAAGCTGAAACTAAAATTACCAGATTACCAGATTACCAGTGATCAAGATTTTGACCATTGGGTGAATGCAGTAATACAAATGAATGAAAGTGATTGTTCCAAAAACAGGGAGCAGTCAATTGGTCATGCAAGAGTGAGTGATAGTATCAGTATGGAAAAACTGAACATGAAAAGAACGACACCAAAGAATGCAATGATGAAGGTATGAAAGAAGTAAAGAAGGCAAAAGACGCGAATGATAGTGCAGCGGGTCTTAAAAACACACCATCCACACTGAATGAAAGTGAGATGTCGATGAATAGTGAGAAAGTAAACGAACAGTAATCCTAACAGTTTCATATAATGTAAAATTAAGTAAACATGATAAATCTCAATCACATGTTACTGATCTAATGCAATTATCTACTGACCCAAATGCACCAACTGCTGCAGTTACCAGAAGCATGAATGAAACCATTCAACAAAAGCTGAAAGCCATTATGTTTGCTTTTAGAGAAATTCCTCATAGCTCAACAGGTTTTTCGCCATTTGAACGTGTATATGTTGCAAATCCACGAGGATCATTGCAGCTATATAATAAGCTTTTCACAGGAAAAGCAGAAACAGAAAAAAATTTGCTTATGAATCAGTGGCAGATCTAAGAAATAAAATAACGATTGCCTGTCAACAAGCAAAAGAAACTATGAAGGAAGCCAGTCTGAAACAGCGACAGTATGCAAACAGAATAGCAAGACTTGTAAAATATAACCCTGGTGATGAAGTATTATTATTGTTACAGAAAAAATCAGACAAATTATGTTTAGAATGGTCAGGTCTTTTTGTTGTCACAAGAAAGATTTCTGATGTTGATAATGAAATCAAAATTTATGGAAAACTCAAAATTTTTCATGCAAATATGCTTAAACCATATTTCAGAAGATCATTGTTGATGTCAAATGATGATGTTCTTGATACAAATTCATTGAATGTAATCAATAAAGACTTATCTGATATTATACATGACGATACTCCAACACCATCAACAAAAAATGATGTCAGCTGGAAATCGATAAAAATGAACCAAGAACTATCAGAAAATGAAAAAGCTAAATTGGGGGATATCATCTTTCGTTATAAAGATATTTTTACAAATACACCTGGGAAAACCAATATAATAAATTACGACATTCAGTTGAACTCATCTGTACCAGTGAAATCTAAACCATATGTAATACCTTTTCATTATTTGAACAAGGTTGGATCAGAATTGCAACAACAACAGCAGGAAGGAATCATTGAAGATTTCACATCAAATTATAGTTCACCTCTAGTAGTAGTAAAGAAAAAAGATGGATCACTAAGTTTTTGTGTCTATTATAGAAAACTAAACCAAATTACCTATTTAGAAACTGAGCCCATACCTTCTTCAGATAAAATCATACAAGAGTTGTAGAACTCAATTTTTGTTCTTCAAAAATTGACATTTTAAAAAGTTATTGGCAAATATCACTAACACCAAAAGCTGTGAAATATACTAGCTTTCAAACTCCAATTGGACTAAAACAGTGGCTTAGTTTAGCATTCGGTTTAATAAATGCTCCGAAAATTTTCACAAAAATGGTAAAGAAACTGTTACATACAATCCCATACGTCACAGCATATATGGATGATATCTGTATACATAATGAGACATTACATGACCACTGCATAACCCTAGAAAAAGTCCTATCAAGAATAAATGATGCTAAATAGACAGTGAATCCACTAAAAACTGAAATTGGATATACCAAAATTGATTACTTAGGACATGATATCTGCGAAGGTTTGGTTCAAACAGATGAAAACATTGTCTCTAAAATTTTAAAGATCTAAAAAACAAAAAACTAAAAAGCAACTCTAATCTTTTCTAGGGTTGTTAAACTATTACGGTAAATTCATCCCGAATGTAGCAGCTTTAACATCCCCTCTATCAGAGCTTTTAAAGAAACAACAGTTAAAAAAATCAGATTGGAATGAAACACATGATGAGATTTTAGTAAAAATAAAAAACTGTTTCACATATATTACTTCCGGTAATGTATATATCACAAAAACTGAACAAAACTGAACAAACATACAACACATTTGAACGAGAAGCATTAGCACTAGTTATTATTTTGAAAAAATTTCAAAAGTTTTTAGTGGGAAAAGAATTCACCATTTTAACAGATGACTTAGGATTAACAAAATTATTAACAATTGAAGCTAATAGTAATCCAAGGGTATATAGATGGTCATTTTTAATATCCCAGTTCAAATTTAACATTGAACACATAAAAGGAACAGATAACCACTAACCAGATATCATGTCACGTTTCTAAATTAGTTTACAACTACTGATGTAACTGTGTAAATTGATGTTCTTATTTAATGCAATGGTGTAGACATATTAGATGAATGTAATGCTTCTGAATGAATGTGCTAGGTGAATTTACAACTTAAAAAAACAACAACTGGTAATCAGTTATATTAGGGTACTCGACTAAAAGTAAAGGGAAACAATATTCGGGTTGAAAATACACCTCACCAGAAATTATTATGTTAACATTTATTGGTGTACTAACTTGAGTTTATGTAATATGGAATTTGAATATTTGTATTGATGAGATATGTTGTAGGCTCTGAGGACAAGGTAATTAACTAAATCTTGTATCTTACATAATTGAGAACATGATCATACATTGCTGATTTTGCCATTGTTATGGATTTCATGAATGGAAATAGCGAGGGTGGGACCTCATAGGGTCACACTTGGGTTTTAGAGCCAAGATTTGGACTTCCGCCCCCAACGGGTAGAGGTTCTGTTGTATACCGACTTTAGAACTGGGTGGGGATGCTTATGGAGCCAGGTTATTGGTCTTTCGCACTAAATGGGGGGTGTGCCTGGGGTGATGATCCCATTAAGGTAATCACAATCGTGGAGAGACCTAACAGATAGAATTTTGGATTGTTTGAATTGTAACTCAATGGAAAAAGGGAACTTGGTTAGAAATGAACTTGTCGAAAATGTTTCACTACAAAAGTCTGAAATTATCATATTCAAAGAAGACATAAATATAATGATCACACCTATTTAGATAGAAAATGTAAAACCTTTTTTGGGATGGGGGAGAGTGTAGTGAACCCATTTTCTCCTAGATAAATTATGTTCCAGACGGAATAACGTCAGCTAATAAATGTAAGTGGAATATTTTGAGTGTAACTGGGACAACATGTAAATTGTAGAGAAATGCTGGCAGACGAACTTCATATGAATTACAAAGAATTGATGGCCAATTAAATTCACGGGTATCACATAGAAACTGCTGGCCAAATGGGATTCGTGTGAATCAGAGAACACTGAGATTTCGGAATCACGAGGAGGGCATTAGAAGATTATTCATTGCCGTAGAAAGGGCTAGTGGGTAGTCTCGTTTTGGCCTAGGAAATGAATACATGAAGTATGAAGGAGTGCGGGATCCAGAAAAAGTGTTCAAGTCCGATATGTCTGCAGAGTTGTTTCCAACGCCTACCTGGCCATCAGTAACGGCTGACGGAAGTCGTAGCCAGCTGAGTATTGTGTGTGTTTTGATCGAATGGACTCGTCGTTTTCTTTCAATTGCTGGATGGAATGTTTATTATAAGGTATGGTTGACAGTTTCGACGAGTGAGGATAGATATGAGTGACTGTGTTGTACCATAACATTTACTGGCTGCAGTACCAGTGAGTGAATAAATAATCAAGCGGTGTAATTTGGATCTTTCGCCAGCGTCCATGTTTTCTCGTGTGTTGTCAGTCAGTGAATGGAAGCCTGCAGTGACTAGAGCCAGATAAAAGATTACAGAGAGTCATTGCATCAGCATTAACATTTGCATCAGCTTTGCGAAGTATTTCAACGATCTTTAAATGACCATCGTAAGTAGCACAGTATAGAGGTCTCCACTTGTCCAAAACTTCACCCCTTAGAGATCTACATACTCTCCATTCCTCGTTTGTGTCTTTCACTTGTGTTTGAAAAAGGCTGCCCGGCCGAAAAGTTACGTTGTGTTGTTTTGTGCACGTTTTCCTCTTTCCCATTTTGTTGAGCCTTTTAGTCAAATTTCTCTGGAATTTATTGTAAGGAGCATAATGTGGAGGTGTCCACTTGTCAACATCTTCAGCAATAATATTTGCATTAGCTTTGAGAAGTATTTAAACGATCTCTGAATGACCATTGTAAGCAGCACAGTGTAGAGGTGTCCGCTTGTCATTGTCTTCAACATTAACATTTGCATCCGCTTTGAGAAGAACTTCAACAATCTCTGAATAACCTTTACGAACAGCATTATGTAAAGGTGTCTGCTTGTCCACATCTTCAGCATTAATATTTGCATCAGCTTTGAGAAGAATTTCAACAATCTTTATGTGGCCATTGTCAATAGTATGATGTAGAGGTGTCCGTTTGTTCTTATCTTCAGCATTAATAATTGCCCCAGCTTTGAGGAGAATTTCAACAATCTCTTTATGACCATTAGTAGCAGCGTGATGCAGAGGTGTACACTTCTCCCTATCTTCAGCGTTAATATTTGCCTCACTTTTAAGAAGAATTTCAACAGTCTCTTTATGACCATAAAAAGCAGCCAGATGTAGAGGTGTCCACGTGCATAAATCTTCAGCATTAATATCTTCTCCAGCTTTAAGAAGAAATTCCACAGTCTCTTTATGACCTTTAGCGGCAGCCAAATGAAGTGGTGTCCACATGTATTTTTTATAAGCATTAATATTTGCTTCAGCTTTGAGAAAAATTTCAACAATTTCTTTATGTCCATTAGCGGCAGCAATTTGTAGAGGTGTCCACTTCTCCTCACTTTCAGCATGAATATTTGCCCCACTTTTAAGAAAAATCTCAACAATTTCTTTATGACCTTTAGCGGCAGCCAGATGTAAAGGTGTCCACTTATTCTCATCCTTAGCATTAATATTTGTCTCAGCTTTGAGAAGAATTTCAACAGTCTCTTTATGACCTTTAGCGGCAGCCAGATGTAAAGGTGTCCACTTGTTCTCATCTTTAGCATTAATATTTGCCCCAGCTTTGAGAAGAATTTTAAGAATTTTTTTATGACCATTAGTGGCATCGCAATGTAGGGGTGTCGACTTGTTCTTATCTTCAGCATTAATATTTGCCTCAGTTTGGAAAACAATTTCATCAACCTCTTTATGACCATTAGCGGCCGCCAGATGTAGAGGTGAACACTTTTCATCTTCAGCATGAATATTTTCTCCAGAATTGAGAAGAATTTCAACAACCTCTTTATGACCATTAGCGGCAGCCAAATGTAGAGGTGTCCACTTCTTCTCATCTTCAGCATTAATATTTTCTCCAGCTTTGAGAAGAAATTCCACAGTCTCTTTATTACCATTAGCTGCAGCCAAATGTAACGGCGTGCACTTGTCTTTTTTATTAACATTAATATTTTTTTCAACACTGAGAAGAATTTTAACAATTTCCTTATGTCCATTAGCGGCAGCCAGATTCAGAGGTGTCCACTTCTTCTCACCCGCAGCATCAATATTTGCCCCAGCTTTAAGAAGAATTTCAACAATTTCCGAATGACCATTACTGGTAGCGTGGTAAAGAGGTGTCCACTTGTTCTTATCTTCAACATTATTGTTTGCCCCAGCTTTGAGGAGAATTTCGACAATCTCTTTATGACCATTAGTGGCAGCGTGATGCAGAGGTGTACACTTCTCCTTATCTTCAGCGTTAATATTTGCCTCACTTTTAAGAATAATTTCAACAGTCTCTTTATGACCATAAAAAGCAGCCAGATGTAGAGGTGTCCACATGCATAAATCTTCAGCATTAATATCTTCTCCAGCTTTGAGAAGAAATTCCACAGTCTCTTTATGACCTTTAGCGGCAGCCAAATGAAGTGGTGTCCACATGTATTTTTTATAAGCATTAATATTTGCTTCAGCTTTGAGAAGAATTTCAACAATTTCTTTATGTCCATTAGCGGCAGCAATTTGTAAAGGTGTCCACTTCACCTCACTTCCAGCATGAATATTTGCCCCACTGTTAAGAAAAATCTCAACAATTTCTATATGACCTTTAGCGGCAGCCAGATGTAGAAGTGTCGACTTGCGCTTATCTTCAGCATTAAAATTTGCTCCAGCTTTGAGAAGAATTTCAACAGTCTCTTTATGACCTTTAGCGGCCGCCAGATGTAAAGGTGTCCACTTGTCTACATCTTCAGCATTTATATTTGCCCCAGCTTCGAGAAGAATGTAAACATTCTCTTTATGACCTTTAGCGGCCGCCAGATGTAAAGGTGTCCACTTTTCTACATTTTCAGCATTTATATTTGCCCCAGCTTTGAGAAGAATGTAAACAATCTCTTGATCACCAATGGAGGCAGCGCGATGTAAAGGTGTCCACTTGTCTTTATCTTTAGCATTTATATTTGCCCCACTTCTAAGAAGAATCTCAATAATGTCTTTATGACCTTTAGCGGCAGCGCAATGTAAAGGTGTCCACTTGTCAACATCTTTAGCATTTATATTTGCCCCAGCTTTGAGAAGAATGTAAACAATCTCTTGATCACCAATGGTGGCAGCGCAATGTAAAGGTGTCCACTTGTCTACATCTTCAGCATTTATATTTGCCCCAGCTTCGAGAAGAATGTAAACATTCTCTTTATGACCTTTAGCGGCGGCGCGATGTAAAGGTGTCCACTTGTCAACATCTTTAGCATTTATATTTGCCCCAGCTTTGAGAAGAATGTAAACAATCTCTTGATCACCAATGGAGGCAGCGCGATGTAAAGGTGTCCACTTGTCTACATCTTCAGCATTTATATTTGCCCCACTTCTAAGAAGAATCTCAATAATGTCTTTATGACCTTTAGCGGCCGCCAGATGTAAAGGTGTCCACTTGTCAACATCTTTAGCATTTATATTTGCCCCAGCTTTGAGAAGAATGTAAACAATCTCTTGATCACCAATGGTGGCAGCGCGATGTAAAGGTGTCCACTTGTCTACATCTTCAGCATTTATATTTGCCATAGCGTCGAGAAGAATGTAAACATTCTTTTTATGACCTTTAGCGGCGGCGCGATGTAAAGGTGTCCACTTGTCTATATCTTTAGCATTTATATTTGCCCCAGCTTTGAGAAGAATGTAAACAATCTCTTGATCACCAATGGTGGCAGCGCAATGTAAAGGTGTCCACTTGTCTACATCTTCAGCATTTATATTTGCCCCACTTCTAAGAAGAATCTCAATAATGTCTTTATGACCTTTAGCGGCAGCGCGATGTAGAGGTGTCCCCTTATCTGCATCTTTAGCATTTATATTTGCCCCAGCTTTCAGAAGAATTTTAACAATCTCTATATCACCAATGGTGGCAGCGCGATGTAGAAGTCTCCCCTTGTCTACAACTTCAGCATTAATATTTGCTCCTTCTTTGAGAAGAATTTCAACAAGATCTGTACGTTGTTTAGTGGTTGTGTGATGTAAAGGTGTCCACTTGTTCTCATCTCTAGCATTAATATTCCACCCAGCTTTGAAAAGATTTTCATTAATCTCTTTATGACCTTTAATGGCAGCCAGATGTAGAGGTGTCAGCTTGTTCTCATGTTCAGCATTTTTTTTTGCCTCAGCTTTGAAAAGAACAACCTCTTTGTGACCGTTCATGTTTTTCTTCTTTTTACAAATTTGTTAACACTGATCTTGTACTCGAGCTTTATTTATCATTTCAGCAATGTCATTGTTTCTATTTTTAGCACTGCTTTTGATTTATATGCTTGGCTAACCTCTTAAGCATTGATATCTGCTCCTGCGGTAAAAAGTGTTTCTCCCTCTTCTTTGAATCAAATGTAGAGTTGTCGTCTTAGGCCTTTTAGAATTATAATTTACTTTAAAATAGATAAAAATTACGACTATTTTATTTTTATCTTTCAACAATATAATGTGCTGCAATGATACAATTCCAGATGTTTTCCATTTTTAGTGCGGCTACGTTTTCGAAAGGTATTAAAATTGTTTTAGGGTTCTTTAAAACGTTTATAAATACTGGAGTATTCCATGTATTCCATATATTAATACATATGGTCGGCACAGGAGCTGGTGAATGTTTTAGCTAGCTCCCCTTGTACTCAAGAAATAGAACTGAGCAGTGATGAACCATTTCGAGTCACAGGGAAAAAGCTGTCGCACCAAGCTGAGCGAATCTGCATGTATCGAAGCCCACCAGGATGATGTGTGATAACAGACACCTGTAGATCAAGGAGAACAATATCAGCTAGTGATAGCATATAATTTATTAATAATTGAACAATTGTTTAATGTGACTGTCAATAACACAAAGTTCAAGAGCGAATTTTGAAGCAATATTTTTGAATTACCGTTATATTGTTATATTATCACAGACACAGTCTTTGCACATTGAGCAACCTCATGCGTGCTCAGTCCTCCTATGCAGCAGCCACTCCTAGGTACCTATACTGATTTTCTCCTGGGGAGTTGGTTATAATATCTCATGTCTTTACCTCGAAAACGGCATAGTCGTGCTTCACCAAGATTAACTCTTTTATCAGTCAATCTTGTTAGATTAAGAGATTTGCCATTATCCTCCAAAATATTTCTTTAGCGTTGATGATATCAGCTCTGTCCATGCTTCTCCTTATTTGCATTGGTGCAGTACTTGCCAGCTGGTCAGCTCTTTCATTACCGTTTACTCATGCGTGCCCAGGTGTGTAAATACTAGGGCTGTACCGAATAGTGATTTTCACTATTCGAATACGAATACGAATAATGGGACCAACTATTCGGCCGAATACGAATAGTGTGTATGAAATATACCCCCCCTCACCACCCCCCCCCCCCCCCCAAAAAAAAAAAAAAAACATCATTCATAATGTCAAATGAAAGCTGAACTTTTACTTCACATAAAGTAGCACAGAACAGTCATCTTTTATTTTAGCATTCTGAGCGCTTGAGGTTTACTGCAGCAGACTGTTTTTGAAAACCTGTAATAAGGCCTCATCTTTTTCATTTCTGCTTCAAGTTTCAGAGCCATATGAAACGACTGGTCTTGTCAACGTTTTATAGATTTTGATCTTGATGTTGCGAGACAGACACTTTGACTTTAGCAGATGTTCAAGGGCATAGTATATTTTATTTCTAGAATGTATTCTATATTGTCAGCTCTTTCATTACCATCGACGCCTGCGTGTCCCGGAACAAAAATAAAGGTGACTCCACGCACAGTGGACTTCTGTAATGATTCAAGCCATTGTCTTCGCACCGAACCTGCCTGAACCCTCCGGATCATACTCATTGAATCACTGAGTATATATACGCAAGTGTATTTTTGTGTTTCAAGCCAGGCAAACGCTTGCGTCACTGCCATCACCTCCATCGTCATGCTGCTGGTTGTCATAGAGAAGGCGCCGTTGGCTTCTTTGACTGTTCTGCCCGCTGAGCGTGCCGTGAATGCCCATACGCTTCTTCTTTGGCGTATAAGGGATCCGTCTGTATAGATTAGTGCATCTGCTTCGTCTTAATTTTCACTGATGAGAGCGTTGACCTCTGCATTAACAGCAACATGATTCTCTTCTCTACATCGCCTGCTGAGTGTGACAATACAGGAAAATGTACAAATAAACGCCTGAGGCACAGGTATCCATTCTGCAACAGGTTTATGTAAATAAATGGTTAATGGTAACGCCTGTAATTAGACAAGAAATTTCAGAGAAATTTGACTAAAAAGATCAACAAAATGGGGAAGCAGAAAAAGGGGCACAAAACAGCACAGCGCAACGTTTCGACCAGGCGGCCTTTTTCAAACATAAGTGAGCTACACAAACGTTACAACGAGGAGTTGAGAGTAAGTAGATCTCTAAGGGGTGACGTAGGCAAAGTTTAAAATAATGTGGTGTGGAATAAATGAATTAGAATAAAACAAACGATAGATAAAATATATAGTCACAAAAAAAAAAAAAAAAAAAAATTTACAGTAGAATTGGTAATCTATATATATAAAAATCAATGTTTGTGTGTTTGTTTATGAGCTATAGACTCGGAAACTACTGAACCGATTTAGCTGAAATTTTTAGGAAATGTTTGTTTTGATACTGGATTTTCACCCTTCATGGTTTGAAATTCAACCTGTCATTGTTAGAGATAGTTCGCGACAATTTAAGCAAAAATATTCGAAACTAATATTTAAATATTTAGTGACATCTAATTATAGCCACGTTACTTAATGCGCCTGTGCGATCGATTTACCCGTCATGCGCAGTAGTGGCGCTCCATTGTCAACATCCGCCCGCAACATTATTACAAAGAAAACAATTGCCTGCGGTTTTTAGGTGTGTTATCTAGAAATATCTTAAAAGGTAAGAGCATTTATTTCAGTAACATTAGTCAGTATGTACATGTTTTTTGTTTACCACTTCTTAAATCTCGAAATGATAAATGTATACACATTATAATTAATCATTATCATCTTTCTCATACTCAAGAGTACAACAGGTTTGGTTGGCTTTCTTCTGTTATTTAAAAGAATTATAAAAATGTACACGACATTCCGTCTCAGGTCAGTGTTAGATTCTAGAAATATCTCAACAGGTGAGCGCAGTTATTTTAGTGACATCAGTCAGTATCTACATGTTTTTGTTAACTTCAAACAAGTGTGGATCACTTCCTAAATCTCGCAGTGATAAATGTATACACATTATCATTAATCATTATCTGTTATCTTTCTCAAACTCATACTCATGAGTACAACAGTTTTGGTTGGCTTTCTTCTGTTATTCAGAAGAATTATATAAATGTACACGACATTTCGTCTCAGGTCAGTGTTAGATTCTAGAAATATCTCAACAGGTGAGCGCATATATTTCAGTGACATCAGTCAGTATGTACATGTTTTTGTTAACTTCAAACAAGTGTGGACAACTTCTTAAATCTCGCAATGATAAATGTATACACATTATCATTAATCATTATCGGTTATCTTTCTCAAACTCATACTCATGAGTACAACAGTTTTGGTTGGCTTTCTTCTGTTATTCAAAAGAATTATATAAATTTACAGGACATTCCGTCTCAGGTCAGTGTTAGAATCTAGAAATATCTCAAAAGGTGAGCGCATTTATTTCAGTGACATTAGTCAGTATGTGCATGTTTTTTGTTTACTTCAAACAAGTGTGGACCACTTCTTAAATCTCGCAATGATAAATGTATACACATTATCATTAATCGTTATCTGTTATCTTTCTCCTACTCATGAGTACAACAGTTTTGGCTGGCTTTCATCTGTTATTCAAAAGAATTATATAAATTTACATGACATTCCGTCTCAGGTCAGTGTTAGAATCTACAAATATCTCAACAGGTGAGCGCATTTATTTCAGTGACATCAGTCAATATGTACATTTTTAAAACTTCAAATACATGTGTGGACCACTCCTTAAATCCCACAATGATAAATGTATGCACATTATCTGTTGGCTTTCTCATATTGTCTTAGATACCGCCTTTTCTTACTATTTTCTGTCCAGTTTCTATGCATTTCCTCTTGAGTCAAAATAAATTGTTATCTCATGCTCATATTTTCATTTATTTCAGCGATACTTCAAGTCACATTTCATTCAGTGCCTGTGGACGAACAAGCTATTGATGATCAGCGCTCACAAAATTTGCAGTTATGCTTCCCAAACGACAAGCTATTGGCCCATCTACACCTAAAACAAGCAAGAGAAGGGCATTAATTGCTTAAGAAACAGACGAGCAACGTCATCATTCCATTCACTGATTTCACAGCGATTGGGAGCTATTCACAACGCTCTCACAAAACGCTCATTTTAACCCTTTGGCTGCCATTTTCCACTGATTTTCAGAGGACTAATCGATTTGTTTACATTTTCAGGACTGTGATTCATGATTTGTGATTGTTTTAAATAATATTGTGGTGTAGATTTAGTGCTTTATTAGTATATCATTGTGTTTACTAGTTAGCTTTGAATTTCGTTGCCACGCGACCCTTAGTCTATCGCGTCGTTTCGTTTCGTTTGTTTGAAAAAAAATAAAAGTTCTTGTCACCCTAACCAGCTCCAATGACGAGCGGCGGTTATTTTGGGACTGCGTTTATTTGTTTGGAATTTCAAATAATTTTTTTCAATTGTGACGAACTACGTCTAGAAGTGGTTTACTTGTTTGTTTCTGCGATGGTGGCCGTGATTGGGAGTGGAAGTTTACTAGTAAAGTTTGCCGGGGCGGCCTCGAACGGGTGGGAGGGATTGGGTTGGGCGGTTGACATCATGCCTGGCTGGTAGCGAGCTGTGGGGTGTTCTCCGGGCTGGGTGGTTGGCTGGTTCAGCTGTCATGGCGGCTGGTCTGGAGGGCGTGGGTTAGTTTCTCGAGTTCATCTCTGGCCAGGTTGTCTTCGTATGATCCCGCGTATTTGGCTAGTTCTGCGTCTATTCTGTCTGACTCTTCTTTTGCTGCTTGTTTGGCTTTTTTGTCTTCCTCCAGCATTGCTTCGAGGTCTTCGTCTGCTATTTCTGCTGTGTTTATTTTTGCTTTCTGTGCTTTTTTGCGGTTTAGGATAGATTGTCTTTTTCGTTCCGCTTCTTTCCTAGCGCTTTCTCTGGCG